CAAAATCATTTAGAGAAAAAAAAAGGGGGAGGGACCAGGTTTGCTGGTCTGATAGAGCCTGGTGGAACCACTGAGACTATGGCCCCTAGCTGCCCTTCAGAACTGGAATTGAACCCACATCTGTGGCTTCCAGCCAAACAAAAGACAGGCATATGAGTTGAACATTTACCTGAGGTAGATACACTTGTTGGAAAGATCAATCGTGGGAGAAAGAAGGGCTGTTTGTGCACGGGGAGACAGCTCAGGGGTCAGGGGTGCATGAAGGGATGGACACAGGGAAGAAGTAACTATTGGGAGGAAGAGGGAGGGCAGCTGTTGCATTGTGGGAAATTGTGGTCAATGTTATGAGAGAAAGTGTATGTGAACTGCTGTCTGGAAACTGAATTTGCTCTGTAAATTTTCACCCGAATCAAAATTAAAAAAAAAAAAATTTTTAAAAGAGTACACCCTGGAAAACCCCATTGGGTGGGGTGAGGGAGTTCCAATCTGTCACAAAAGTCAGCTCACCATTGCCTAGCAACAACATCTCAAGAAGCATATAATCTGGGTTTGTAGAAATGAAGAGTTGAAATGGTATTTCCTAGGACTGCACACATCCATTTCCGTTGAGGCATTTCCGACTCATAGTGACCCTTTAGGAGCTCTGGTGGCATAGTGCCTAAGGTACTTGACTGCTAACCAGAAGGTTGGCGTTTCAAACCCACCAGCCACTCCTCAGAAGGAAGGTTGGGCAATCTGCTTCTGTAGTGATACTGCCTTCGAAACGCACGGAGGGGTCACTGTGATTCGGGTTGACTTGACAGCAGTGAGTTTGGTTTAGTTTGGTTTGGTTTGGTTTAGTGACCCTTTAGGACAGAGTAGAACTGCCCGATAGGGCTTCCAAGACTGTAATTATCCTGGAAGGCAGACTGCCTCATCTTTCTCCCGTGGAAAGGCTAGTGGGGTTGAACCATCCACCTTTTGGCTCACGGCTGAGTGTTTAACCACTGCATCACTAGGGTCCTTTTTACCAGGAATAGTTAGTGCTAATAGTGTCACCATATTGCTCTCGGATTGGAAAAGGGATGTCTTCTGCATTATTTTTAGCACTTTCTAAAGAATCAGGTCAATGAATTTCCTTATATTCTAAGAATTATAGCAGATGTACTTGGCCTAAAAATAACAGTGCCCCACACCCCTCTAAAACTCTCTTTTAAGGGATTCAGGCTCCTTGAATCCTGACATCCATAAGCGCATGTGTATTTTAAATGTTCTCATTCGTGTTGAAAACAGTCTTTGTGCCTTACTTAGTAAGCAGTAGCAAATGCTGTCCTAGCAACATAGGAAATTGAGCGTGACAGAAATAGCACTTAGAAAAAAGTCAAACGGCAAAGAAAGTGAGTGCTTTATCAAAAAAAGAAAAGAATTGATTTCTACCTCCTTGAGGACAGCAAGGAAGGATAAAAATAGACCTTCATAATAAGAAGTGTCAGAGGAACTGAATGAAGGAGCCCTTGTGGCACAATGGTTATGTGCTTGGTTGCACACTGAAAAGTTGGCAGTTTGACCCCACCCAACAGCTCCATGGGAGAAAGACCTGTTGATCTGCTCCTGTAAAGATGACAGCCTGGGAAACCCTGTGGGGCAGTTCCACTCTGTCCTCTAGGGGCGCTGTGAGTCAGAATGGGCTCCACGGCAGTGGGTGTGGTTTGGGCTTTGTTTCTGTGAAGATTGACCACCTGGGAAACCCTTTGGTGCAGTTCAACTCTGTCCTCTAGGGGTGCTGTGGGTCAGAATGGACTCCACGGCAGTGGGTGTGGTTTAGGCTTTGCTTCTGTGAAGA